CCTTACTATCAAACCTCTATAGACAAGCTGGATCGTGTTCAGCATAAATTTGGTAAACACTATCATTACCGTAGTGCTTTTCATGACCTTTCTATCCCATACAGTTATAGTATGATAGCTGATTACTTAAAAATGGTTTCTATGAATCAGCGAAAAGATTATTTTTGCTTAATATTCCTTTACAAAATTGTTAATAATTTGATAAAATGCCCTGAACTTTTAAATCGATTAGGTCTTAACACTCTTCATGGAACTAGACATACTTCATTATTTCAACTTTACTAATTATTTTCCAATGTTGTGCATACTTTGTAAAATTTTATATATTATACGTTGTTCCAATGTAAAAATGGTATATCCGTTAATAAATAAATAAATAAATAAATAAACTTGCAAATGCAAATATATTAAGAACAAGAGCCAAAAGAAAAAGCACTAACACAGTGGGGTATACAAACTTACATGTGGAGACTGTCCAAAAACTTACATTGATTAAACAGGTAGAACCTTTAACAAACGGATGGCAGAACACAAAGGGATTTTCAATAATAGAAATTCTAGATTCTCTAAATAAATAGATTCTACTTACGCACTTCACCTTCTCGATCATAATAATTCTTTTAATTAACCAAATTCAAATTCTTCACATTCAAAATAAAGGACTTAAGATATAATTATTAGGATCTATGGAAATTAACAAATTAAAAAATACAGTAAAACCTCCATTAACCGAAATAATTGGGGGGAAGGCCGTTTCGGATAACAAAAATTTCGGTTAAAAATAACATTGTTTTTTATAGTATACTTGGCCAAAGTATAGATATTAAAAAATACTATGAGGTGATTTCGTAATGTTTTCTAATAAGTAAATACAGAATAAAATAATAAAATAAAGGAAAATGAACAAGTTTAACATGCTTTTTTTAAAGAAATCTATTTTTTTTTTGAGTTTTTGGTTGACAACGACGTTTTGCAGCTATATCTTTTCACCGTTCATTTGCAGAACACCATGAGTTTGCATCATTTGATTGTTCGAAGAAACGTAAAGCAATCTGAAAAGGACAAAATTTTATGCAATGACAACAAAAATTAAGAACCTAGTCGTGTCCCTACCTAATTAGGCCTACTGTATAAAATATCTCTAAGGCATTGAAAATCTCGTCGGCAGTCTCGTGCTGATTGTTGTCTGGCATTCGGGTCGTCATCTTTGTCGTCTGATACGCTTAGGTTGTCTGGATGAAGAACGATATCAATGATGTCCTGGTCGATGAATTCACTTTCTGAGTCATCGGCTGCTAACCACTGACGTATCTGTTCTTGGTTAATTTCGTCACATCCCGACAAATGTTTTATTAAAGGTTTAATTTCTTCTGACTTTTCTTTACCATTTTATTCTTTAAAATCGTCAATCAAAATTCTATTAAAAAGTTTGTTTCAGCATTTTTCCAAAGTTGAAGATTTGATCTTGGTCCACGACTCAGCATACCAATAAACAACATGTTTCATTGTTAAAGATTTGAGAATTTCGGGAACACTTTTGCATTCATTCGTCTCCTGTAATAACAGATGTCTTAAGAATGCTTCTCTATAATTTCTCTTGAATGTCTATTACTCCCTGGTCTAACGGCTGAATTAAGCTTGTGGCATTCGGTGGCAAAAATCTGACAATTGTCACCATTTTGTAGATTTTGAGGGTGAGTTGGCGCATTGTCAAGAAGCAACAATGCTTTAATGGAAAGGATTTTTGATTTGAAAAAGGATTTTAAACTTCTTCAAGTGCCGTCTTCGTTCCGAAGTTTGGCTATCATCAAAGCTATGCGTATTTTTGATGCTGCAGATCTAAACAGTTGGTAATTGGTGCAATTGTACCATTCTCTCAAGTTTTTCAACCATGAATGCCTTCTTCTTCCTATAGATCTCTTTCCCATTATCTTTCCCTGTATAATCAATTGCAGCAACTGGTATTTATCTCCCCTCATAACATGTCCCAAATATTGTAGTTTGCGCTTTTTAACAGTAAGTATCAGCTCTTTCTCTTTCCGCAGTTTCCGCAAAACCTCCACATTTGTTACTTTCTCTGTCCAGGGTATTCTTAATATTCTACGATACATCCACAACTCAAATGCTTCTATCTTTTTGGTATCGATCTTTTTCAATGTCCATGTTTCCATCCCGTAGAGGAGAACTGACATAACGTAACATCTCAAAAGGCGAATTTTAAGTTTTAGACTTAGATCTCTTCCGCAGAACACCTTTTTCAATTTAGTAAATGTGGCTCTAGCTTTCTCTATTCTGGTTCTGATTTCTTCAGAGCAATCATTATTTTCGTTGATAACAGTTCCCAGGTAATTATATTAATATGTATTAATTATTTTATTATTTATTAATGTATGTATTATATTAATGTATTATTTATTAATGTATTAATAATTTTAAACTTGGGACGAATTAATTTTCCAACAATTCTGAAAATACAGTGGTCGACATCCATGAGCTTTTTTGACTTCTATAAAAAACTGGAAGTACTTTTTCGGAAATATCTTTTAGAGCTCTTGATTTTGTATGATATCCCAACACACATAGGCATCAATTGGTGAGTGAAATTAATGGAATTGTTTACGTTTTGCGATAAAAATTTACTTCTTATTGACGAAATTTATTGAAACTGTCAGCTGTTTCAGTTAAACGATGTTTCGGTTAAGGGAGGTTTTACTGTACAGATATAACTTTGAATCACCAACTTGAGATAAACAATTCTCCCCTCCTCAACTTATTTAGTTAAAGACTACAAAGTGTTGGATGCATAACAAAAATAGCTTACTTGAGAAAGGCACTCTGCCGAAACAGCTGTAGTAATAATTTATTATAATAAAAATTTGTGGAAGTGTTCAAAACAAAGTTTTCAATGGTTTAAATGAATTTCCATAAAGTAATGGTTAAATCCATTACATATTCAAAATTATTTGCTAATTAAAGTGTAATCATTTCTTTTAATTCTGTTCCGATAATTCTAAATCTATTTGCCTCATCACTTCTTTTGCGTGAGTAAAAATCAATATATCATTGGAATGTACATATGTATTATATTGTTTGTCTTTTAATGACTGTGCTGTTAATAATTTATTTGTGCTTGTATAAGAAGTTAAATCAACTTTTATTTTATTAGCTCTTATTACTTATATGTTAGCTAAATCAAGTTTAATTTCTGGTACCACATTTATTATTGTTCTAGTCGTAGCTATTTTTTATTAATCTTAGCTTATTTTTTCCTGTTTTGCTTTGAACATAAACAAAAATTGCCCCATTATCTTTTGGAGTATATTGGTTTATTGTGTTAATGACAATGACCATGTTTACATTAAAATTTTTTAAGAAACAGATGCAGAAACATGATCAATACTTATCTGTGTAATAGGATTGATATTTTGAAATCCTATAAATTCCTCCACTGGAGAAGCTGGACGGGTCACATTCATATCACATTCCAAAACATTTTTTTACAAAGGGGTTTTCTACAGCCCCTCTAGTAATGATCTTTAAAACACTCAGATTTTACATTTTTTTTAAATCGATATGTGTAATTTATTTATAAAAACATAACTAGTTTTTTAAGTAGTTACTTGGTGATAACACTGATTTTGTTACTTAGATTGTAAGTATTGCAAGTCTATTTACTTTGGTGAACCTAAACCAACTGATAAACCACCAGCAACCAAGTTAAAAACATGACTATACTACATGGATACACTATGGCCAAATTTCAGGTAATTTTGATAGCTAATTACATCATTTTATAGATGACAGCATATTCTGCTATAGACAGCTGTGGTATCTGCACTCCAAAAGTTTATCTTCATCTAAGCTTTCATTCTACAATGAATTTTGTAGGATAATTTGTAGACAAAAGACCTACGCACAATGTAATAGAAATGACTAGAGAAAGAAGTCTACATAGATGGAACATACAAGATATCAGGACAATTCATACACTCCCTTCAGAAGGTCGAGACTAGAGAGAGAGTATACATTTACCTAATCTATTTGGGTTTGCTTTCTATCTGTAATTCTTGTGATAATTCTGAGCTGATTCCTACTTGTTTTATTCAGTGCTTTAGCCCAGTGGCGCACCCAGAATTTTCCGTTGGGAGGGGTTTTGGGGGGGGGGTTTGGTTGGGCACCCATGTTTTTTATGCTACCTCCACCATTTTAAGTCCTTAAAATTTGTCAGTAACACTGTCGGAATAATGCCTTGGGTGCGCCACTGCTTTAGCCCTATTACCACATGTCCATGCAATATACATTTTGCTACATATTTGATCTTGTGTGTCAATTGTTTTTGAGACTACAGCCTCACAAGTTTAGGTTTTAAACCATCCACACTGAATAAAAGTCCCATCTTGTATTTCTCTTAATTGTGGATTTTGTCTAATGATTTACACCAGATTCCTTCACAATTGTTACATTTAAATGCCTCGCCAGCTTTTAAACTTTGTAGTATTAAAATTTATTCCATCAATGGCGAAATATTTTCATTAAATTCACATACTAACTCTACCTTTACTATTTACTCTAGAGAGTATTCTGATGTAAAACAAAAGATATATGCACAAACAAAGACATGACGATGTACACCAATATGAAACCAGGAATAAGAATATCTTAATGCTGTCCTACACCAAGCTCCAAAGAAGTAGAGATGGACCAAATTCTTATGGTATAACATTTTACAACAAGCTGCCTTCTGCAATTACTGAATTACCAAATTTACATTTAAAAAAGCAATCAAGAATTTTCTCTTCTTAATCAGGTATTTTTTAGCAGTGATGAATTTTTAAATCATTTCATAGTAATTCATGTGAAAAATAATTTTTTTCCAATCCAAAACATATACCTAACAATGAATAATTAAAATAAAAATTAATAATCAGTACCAGTAACTGTTGCAAAATTGAGATACTTTTAGATTCACCCATTAATTCAATACTTAGACTAAAACTTACTTTCTTTGTCAATGTTGGACAGTAATTTTGCTGTTTTCATACTTCTACAATGTTTTTCATTATCTATCTCTAATTTTACATCTCTCTCTGAGTCTAACTTTTTCGTATCCCTGCTTTTAAATAGAGTCTCACACCCTTGGTTTACTTTTGCTTCTAACTTATGTTCATCCAGTTCTTTTTTTATTTCTGTCTTAACATCTTGCATGGTAATGATAGGGAATGGGTTAATTATTTCATATTGTAACGTATGTTCTTCTATTTTAATATTTTCCGAACAATATGAGTCTGATAAAGAAACCTCTGTGTAATTACTTTCAAATATGCATTCTTCCACTTCTGACTTAATTTGTACATTAATATATTGATCTAGAGAATCCTTATCTTTGTCACATATAACCGAATCTTCACCTAACTCCATTTCGAATTTAAACTAAATTACTGGTGTATTAAAAATACAATTATTAATTAATTACACGGAACAACATTACTAATTTACTAATTACCACTACCACTCTTTTTGACATGACAAAGACAAATTACTTATTTGACAATTGAAAGTACGGACATTTGACAGCTGACCCAGGCGTGTGACGTATTTAAGAACGCTCCAATGACGTATACGTCATTGGAACGCTCGAACCCATTTGAACCCATTGTACAATGAATACAAAAGAACCAGTTTCATTAATTGAATCTTCTGAAGATAGTATTGTAGAACGTGACTCTTGTGATATGCATAAAAAGTAGTATTTTTATGACAGAAGATGTTTCAGATTCAAATCTAATCCCTAAAAGAGCCTGTGATATATAATATTTTAACGTTAGGCGAGAAGGTGAGCTTTGTCCCAATTGCAAATAAATCAGTTTGTACATATCAATATACAGTGCAGTACATATCAATTACATTACATAACATTACAAGCAAAGGTAACACAATATAAATTCGAAGAAGAATTGAGTACTTAGGACTTTCACAAGGGAACATAACTGTGAGGAAGAGATACAGAAAAGAATTTGTCTTGCAACCGCGCTGTATTCGCTCTCAATGGGTTGTTAAGAATCAAAAATATATACATATAATATAATATATACATATAATATAAATATATATCGAAGATTAAAACTAAGTAGGTACATACAAGTTTTTATTAGTTTGGCAGCGCAAAATCTTGTGGCAACATATTAGTGGTAATTATGGTTCAAACACTTATATGTTTAGGCCATGTGTATATAATGATTCCATCTAGAATTTCCAGAATGGTAATACCTAGTGCATTGGCAGGCAAAAGGCGAAGAGGAAGACTGAGGTCAAGATGGTGCAACGAAGTTAAAGAATGTATGAGAAGACTTAACGTAACGAACTGGGAAAGAAAATGGAGTGACAAAGAATATTATATCAGCCATGGGCCTACTAGGTCGTAGTGCTTACATATTATTTTCAATAATATCAATACCAAGATAATTTTATGTGTGAAAATTATAAAAGATGCCATTTAAAAGATTATGCAATATTGTGTGACCTTACTACACTCATATTCGATGGCCAGCTAGCTCATCCGATCTAAAAAAAGTTGACTATATCATTAGGTATTTTGATTTTGTGTTTAGTTCAGTATATATGCACAAATTTTGTGTACCTACATAACCTACATTACAAAGTAATCGTTAACAAATTAAGAAGTGGGAATATCTTGTATATTTGAAAATAATACTAAATTTTTTAGCTGTACTCAACTAATTTTTATGTAGATACCACTTTTTTGTATCTTTTTAAATATCTGAAATATCAAACTCTGGAGTATAAGTTGATCAACCTGTACCTATATGCAATAAAATATAATTAAAACTTGTTTTATAAAGGATATCTATGTGAACAAAATATCTGTACCAAAAATCAATAAAATTAAATTATAGGTAAAGAAATAATAAATAAGACTTACTCACAATCAATTTAATTTAACTATCCGACGACCGGTTTCGCTTTCTACAATATGCAAAGCATCTTCAGGTCTCGATACAAAGTTAAACAAATGATGCCGGTACTCTATTAATAGATGGATGGTAGAACATGTTTGAAACTACTGTATATTGTTGAATGGAGAACTCAATACTATTATTGCAGTTGTTTGACAGTAAACGGGAAGTTCAGGAGGAGGTAGATTTGATCCAATGAATTTGAGATATGTGTGAGATTGTTTGTTAAATGTAAGTGGTGTAATATATTATTGTGTTATTAAAAGTTATTTATACTTATTCCAGAGATATATTTTTGAAATGTGTGTTATTTATTGAGTAATTGTTTTATGAAGGTGACATTTATGAAAATGAATAAGTGTAGATGTAAAATTGTGTGGGTGTGCAATTATTTCCAAACTTGTAGTTATCAAATTACTTTGATAAAGTTCTATTGGCAATGAGTTAATTATTGGAATGGTCAAGTGAATAAAATGAATAAAATGGTAAAATACAAACACTTAAGGATAATTTAAACACACTAAAAACAGAAAACACTTAGAAGGGACGAAACAAACATTGAATTTAAAAGGGGAAGGACTTTAAAGCACTACATCATAGTCTTATTTATTATTTTTTTACCTATTTGAAATGGACTCACACAAGCAACAAATTCATGATTTGAAACTTAAATTAACTTCAAAATATTATTTATGATTAAATATTATAATAACATAATTTTATCATCTCTTTATAATTACTATAATTAAATTAGCCAAACTGAAATTAAAAGTTTTTCCATACAATTATATTCAAATGTTTGTGAAGAAGCGTCCTTGACTACGTCATGCGCGAAACGAACCGATTTTGTAACATTATGTATCATACCTTGTGTTCATTGTACCATGGTACAAATACAAATCAGCATAATATCTGCATGATCTCTTCACAATAGTACTTTTCATATACTTTTCATCAAAAAATAGGGTCAGCCATTCTTTTCGAAAAGACATTTTGTCAAATGACTTATTTTGACTGACGCTGTAAAATGACATGTTTGTGATAATGTTGGTTGCAAAATTGAATCTTGTCAGTAAATTTGAAACATTATTAGATGGATTGTCTTATTTTGTACCATGTCTCATTGTGTACTACTTTCTCCTAATCTTTGAGAAGTTTGTATTTGTAACAGAATCGTTGATCCACATTATCGTGATTGAAATCAGATTTTCTGTGACTGCTAAAAATACGGGGTTCGATTCAATGAAGTGTTCTGAAAACTTCGTTAATTGAATATTGAAAGTCTATATTACATAATGCATCTGCTCGTTTTAGATTTTTTATTGTTCTTTATGTTTTTTCAACATTATGTTAACATTATTTTCTGGGTGTGTGGGCTCTAAGGTAAAAATCAAGAAAGAAGATACTTCTTAGGAGGCACCAACAAAAGCAATTAAAGATATATTTAAAAGACTACAGGGGAATATTAAAAGGGAAAAAATTACCTACAATTTTTTTACTATTTTTTACATGAATAAAATACAAACACTTTTTACAGATACCTAACATTACCCCTAATACATAGAATATATAAAGACTAAATAACATTTTTTACTAGTTTAAAATCACGTAGGATCTGCCATATCTTTGCAGGTAAGAGTCGAACAATCTTGATTCTTTACAGCTTCTAGTACCGTCGTGAACGTGTCTTCGTTAGTACCAGACCTATAAAAATTAATATATTTAAAAAGGAGATTTTAAAATGTAACATGATAAATAGAAAAATGTTAATAATTGTTAAAGCCCATAATGCGCTACACTTTTGTTGACATTCCGCTACTTTGTTGTTGAACTATTTGAGGAGTATACATGCAAAAACCGATAAATCCATTTTTTGAATTTTTTAACCTGAATATTGATTCATATCAATTTGGTAGCCCTCTCTGGGGGTATATCTTTAAATAATTAATTCGCAATCTATGATGTAAATCCATTATATCGTGTGTACTTATAGCAGGTTTCTTTATGCTGTTTCGGGATTCGTTTTATAGTAATAGCATAAACAAAGAAGTATACTTCTTTTCCTATGGTAGTTCTTTGTAAATTAAAAACTAAAGGACTGTGTTACCTTAATCACGTTATATTGTTCTGAAGCTATTTTCTTGTGGCATTGTAAATTAATTACTATTAAACTGGGAATAAGCCACAATTAAAGATAAAAATACGTTTATTGACGTTTCAATTTCCACTTCGGAAATCGTTCTCAAAGTATAAACAGTAAATTAAACAAATTTTGTTTTTTGTTACATGGTGAAAAATTCTTCTAATAATTTAATTTTATTTGACTCATTTATATTGACAATTCAGACATACATTATGCATTTTAAAGTAGACGACTTTAAAATGATATTGCCAATATTGTTGAGTTGCGCTCCTGGGACGACTTTACTCATAAGATAGTTCATTCGATTACATGAAATCAACTTTAACTTGAGAATATCCGTCAGAAAAAAATTATAGCATGTAATTCGTCTTTAAAAAGACAAACGCATGACATGATGACAGTAATTTTCAACAATTGATCGAATAGAACAGAACAACTTAGAACGAGAGCCTACAGCATACACAAGAAATAATGTGAGGAAAATAACAATACCGTACTATCAGAAAAACTTAAAAGGATAGGAAATAAATTCAACATTTCAACAACATTCAAAACAACAAACACGTTGAGATCTATTTTGTCCAAAACCAAACCTAACATTGAACAAGAAAGGACAAAGAATTGCATTTATAAAATACCTTGTGAATGCGATCAGTTTTATTTAGGTGAATCATCAAGGCCATTAAATGTTAGAATAAGTGAACATCAATCTTATATTAAAAAATAGAGAATTTGATAGATCTCAAATCTGTAAACACGCATGGGATAATGAACATAGGGTTCAATGGAATAATTCAAATGTAGTCCTAAAAGAAACGGATGGTAAAAAAAGAAAAATCAAAGAAGCGGCTCTAATTATGCTAAATGAGGCCAATTGTGTCGCAAATTCCTCGGCAGAATGTAGTAGGATCTGGTTACCAATATTGAAAGAGGAAGTTATTAATAAGAAAATACCAGTATTAGTAAGTCAATAACATATAGAGGATACATCATTTATATTTTTTAAATAACGTAACATATAAAATCAGAATTTTGATGTTTGTTGAAGGTAAACTAAATTCACGAACAAATACTTACAATGTCGGGATAGTATTATGAGGTCTTTTTCCTGGTTTTTCCCTCATAATTTACTATGGAATCACTAACAGGAGAATTTTACTGTCATCATGTCATGTGTTTGTCTTTTTAAAGACGAATTACATGCTATGATTTTTTTTTGACGGATATTCTCAAGTTAAAGTTGATTTCATGTAATCGAATGAACTATCTTATAAGTAAAGTCGTCCCAGGAGCGCAACTCAACAATATTGGCAATATTATTTTAAACTCGTCTACTTTAAAATGCATAATGTAGGTATGTCTGAATTGTCAATATAAATGAGTCAGATAAAAT